GCCAGCATGGACAGCTGGCGCTGGACCACGTGCACCAGGTGGAGCTCGGCATTGAGGCGGTCAACATAGCGCGCTGCAAAGTCAAACGCGCGGTCGGACGCCTCGCTGTCGTCGACGGCCACCAGCAGGGCCTCGCGCGCGGCGCTCATGGCTGCTGCTGAGGGCGGTTTGCCTGGGGGGTGAGGGGGGCGCAGGTCAGGCCGCTGATGAGGCGGCGGCAGGGATGGCCGCCACCGCAGCGGACGCGCCGCCGCCGCCGCCGCCGATTGCATCGCCCTTCAGCCACGCCGCGCCACCGAGGGCGATCTCCAGCGACCTCTGAAGCTATTCACCCGCTGGTCACCCGCTGCTTGCCGCGCAGTCGCGCTTCAGATCGCAAAACCCCCCAGGTGACGCGGGATTGCAGGCTGTCCGCACGCCCCTGCGGGTTACCTGACGCCCCCATTCGGCTCAACGAGCCTGTTTCTGCTTCGCACCTGCCGTGTGGAGCCGCTGGTTGGCCGGGCTCCGCTCTCGGAGGGCGATTGCGGTGTCGGCGGGCAAGCTGCTGAGCTTGGGGTCGGAAAAACGTGTGGTGAGGGAATAAGCAACTCTGGGCCTGCAGCTGACATACCAGACACTGGCACCAGGGTGGCCACGGCGGCACCGCGCGAGGCGCCGCCGCCGGCTCCGGCCGGCTCGTGCACCCTGACGCCTGTTCCCAGCTGTCAGCGCGCGGTTTTACAACGGCGTAATCCGCTCAGCCCTTGCGCTTTTTGTGCTTGTGCTTGCCGCCTCTGTCGCCGCCTTTGTCGCCGGCCGGGGGGTCGGCAAAACCGAGCACGGCCATGATTGCGTCAGTGGACGGCCGCTGCCCCTCCTGCTCGCCGCCGTGCTTCTTTTTCTTCTTCTTCTCCTCCTTGCTGCCGTGCTGCTGCCCCGCCGCCGCCGCCCCCGCCGCCTGCTCCGCTGCCGCCGCTTCGGCTCCTGCCTCGGCGTGCTTCTGCTTGTGCTTTTTAGGCTCCTTCTCCTTCCGCTGCTGCTGCCGCTCCGGCTCCTCCCGCTCGCCGCCGCTGCCGCCGTCCGCCTCGGTCCCGCCGCCGCCGCCAGGCGCGCCGCCCTTCTTGCGTTTGCCCTTCTTGCCGCCGCCGCCGCCGCCGCCGCCGCCGCCGCCGCCGCCGCCGCCGCCGGCCTCGTCGGCGCCAAACATTGACTCGTACGCCCGCTTCGTCGTCGCCGCCGACGCGGCGCGCCGCCGCCACTCCTCGGCGCTGCGCTGGTAGGGCTCGACGCCGAGGGAGCGGGAGAGGCGCGCGCCCCAGAAGCAGTGCGCCAGCGCCTGGCTTTCGGCGGCGACGGCGCAGACTATGGCCTCCTTCACGTCCACATCCTGCGCGCACGCGGGGGTGTTTGGGGGAGGGGGGGCGGAGGTGCCGCTCGGGTCCAGAGCCAACAGCCGGGCACGCTCCTGCCCAGGAGGCAAGCATGCCTCCTGGGGAGAGCGGCCCCAGGCCTGGCGCAAAGGCAGAGGCTCCCCCCAGCCGCTGGAGCTGCGCCGGCGGCCACGCAGCGCAGCGCAGAAAGCATCGAGCAGCACAACCCACCCCTCCGCACGCACACAAACGCGCACACCCCGCTGGTGAAACCCACCCCCCAGGCGTAGGCCTTCTCCACGAGGAAGCTGCCCGGCGCCCTGAGGGCCACCTTGCCCCAGCTTCCCGCCAGCTTCCCGAGCATCTGCTTCTTCAACTCCGCCGACGCCGGCCCCAGCAGCAGCGCCTCGAGCACGCGCGAGCCGGCAGAGTCCGTCGCGCAGCGCAGCGTGTCGGCGGCGGGCAGCGCGGCGACGCTGGCCGCAAAGTCGCGGCTCGCGTTCTGCGGCGCGTTGGGGGGGCGGCGCGGCTTTTTAGCGGGTGGGGGCGGACCCGAGGGCGGGCGCGGCAACCCCTGCTGTCCCACACGCCGTTCGCCACCACAGCCAAGGGGGGACAGCCGAGAGGGGCCGACGCCAGGGCAGCGCGCGCGCGAGCGGCCGCAGGCTGCGCGCCATGCGCGGGGCGCGCGCACCTTTGGGAAGCCCAGGATGGCCGCGAGCAGCGCGCAGCCGGGCGTGCTGAGCCGCACGCCGCCGTCGTCGCCGCCGCCGCCGAGCTTTGCCTCGGTGTCGAGCGTCACCAGCGCCGGCGCGAGGTGGGCAGTGCCTGGGGGGAGGTAGGGGGACGGGAGGAGGGGGCGGCAGGCAACGGGGAGGGTGGGTGGCGGGTGATGGCAGGCTGCGCGGGGGCGGCCGCGGCGGCGGCGGTGGGCCCCGCGCTGCGACCGGTTGGCATGCACGGCTGGACGTCGCGGCCCGCCCCCAGGCGCGCGCAGGGCGCGCAGGCCGCGCCTCTGCCGCTGGCTCACCCTCGCGCCCCTGCCACTGCGGCAGCCCCGCGAGCGCCGCCGCCAGCGCGCCGCAGACCTCGCGCTGCCCCACGCCCTCGCGGCCGCAGGCGGCGACGAGCGCTGCGACGATGCCGCTGCGGCGCTTGAGGAGCAGGGGGCCGAGGAAGGCCTGGAGCTCTTCGGAGATGGCCAGGACCTGGGGGTCGGGGGGGGGGGGCGGCGCGGCGCGTCGGCGGTTGGGAAGCGATGCGCGGCAAAGCAAAGGGCAGGCGCAGGTCAGGCCTCGGCCAGCGGCCGCGCTTGAAGCGCGGCGTGCGAGCCGGCGCGCCCGGCGCGCCCCAAACCGCGCGCCCCCACCTGCGCCTTGCCCTGCGCCCCCGCCAGCGCGGCCTGCACCACAAAGTTTGCGGCGTGGTGGCTGGTCAGCGCCATCAGCCGGCCCTTGAGGAAGCGGGCGTGGAACTCGGACCACAGCGGCGGCGGCGCCACCGCGAGCACGACCTGCGGGCGGATGGTGCGCAAGCCGTCGGGGGGCTGGCGCCGAGCGGGCAACCGCCGCAACGCGCCTGCCTTGCGGGCGGCGGGGCCCGGGCTGGGCTGCCTCGGCGCCCGGCTGCGGCGCGGCAGAGGGGTCCCCACGCCGCGGCCTCCAACACCACGACCGCATGGCACGGCGGCCAGCCCGTGAGCACAGCTGCGCCCCGCGGCCTGCGGCATCGGGCCCAAACCCCCTGCAAGTCAAACCCGTCCCAGGTCCACCCGACGACGACATGCCCAGGGCCCACCTCCAGCAGGCGGCTGTACACGTCATCACGCAGCAGCTTCCCCATGTGGCTCTCAGACACAGACGCCAGCACGGCGCCGGCCGCGGCGTCCGCGGCCGCGGCGGCGCTCACGCCCAGCATCGGCGGCAGCAGCAGTCCGAGGAGCGCGCTGCGGCGGCGCGGGGCACGGCAGGGGCAGCAGCGGTCAGCAGTGCGAGTGCGGCGCGCTGTCGTTTGCACGCATGCACGCACGCATGCACGCATTACTAACGCCGATGCAAAAAGCGCGGTCGCGCCCCCCCTCCGCGCCTCCCAAAACCCCATCACGCAGCCCACTACGCACCCGTCGCCCGCGGCGGCGCGGAGCACGCCCTGCAGGAAGGGCCCCGAGTAGGTGTTTTTGGCGAGCGCCGCCATGCTGGGCGGGTCGTAGCACGGCAGCATGCGCGCGAGGCGCGAGAGGAGCGCCGGGAAAAGGGGCGGCGGCGGCTCGCTGTTGTGGCTGCCGGCCAGCTTCTCAGCCAGCGGGTCGGTGCCCTGCGTGGGGCGGTGGGCGGGGGCAGCGCAGCGAGGCGGGCTGATGCCGGGCAGGCATGCAAGGGACGTGTTCTGCCAAGCCGGGGGCAGCGCGCGCGCGCTCTAAAAACCGTGCAGACGCGGCAAACGCCTCGCCCTTCGCGCCACGCACCTTGACTGCGCCCCCCGCCCCGCCGCCCCTGCCGCCAGCCCCGCCGCCGCCGTCGCGCTGCTTCTGCTTGCCCTGCTTGCTGGCGGGGACGACGTCCCGCCCCGCCGCGACGTGCAGCAGCGCGCGCGCCACGTGGGTGGCGTGGCGGTCCATTAGGTAATCGTACAGCGAGTCACCCACGGCACCCGCCAGGTCGCCGAGCAGCGCCTCCAACGCGGCGGCGTCCTCGGCGGCCAGCTCGCCCGCGGCGGCGGCGGCGCCCAGGCGCGCGAGGACGCCCTCGGCCACGTGGGAGCCAAACGCGCTGCGTGGGGGGCCGCGGGAGGGGCGCGGCGCGGCGTGGCGGGGAGTCAGCGGCATGCCGTGGCGGCGTGGAGCGCTCGCAGCAGCGCTCGGGCGCGTCGTGCTCGCGCGGCGTGGCGCGGCGCCCTGCATGAGCAGGGAGCGGGCTCCCAGCGCCCAGCCGCCGCCGGCGTTGCGCGGGGCGCCAACGACCCTGCTCGGCCCCATCCCAACCCCGCACCTGCCAGCCAGCTTGTACATGGCATCCGCCACAGTGAAGGCCCCCATAAAGGCGATGAGGTGCCGCGGCGCGGCGCGCGAGAGCAGCGCCTCCAGCAGGCGGCTGCAGACGGCGTCCGCCGCGACCCGCAGCTCCTTGCCCTGCAGCTCCTCCAGCACGTTGTTGAGCAGTAGCTCGCGCTCCTCGGCATCCTCCAGCGTCTCCAGGTGCTCGGAGACCTCGGTGAGATAGGCCAGCGTCTCGGGCTCCACGCGCGACTTGCCCGGCTCCCAAGCCACGCTGCCGAACGACTGGTGGGGGCGCTCAGGCTGCTCCCCTTCGTCCGCCATTGCGGCCTGTGCTGTCTGCCCGCGATCTGGCCGGCGCGAGCGGCCTGTTCCGCCGTATGGGGCACCCGCGCGAGGATGCACGGCGCGTTAAGCGCCCTGGTATATGCAGAATGCGACCGCTGCGCGGCGGGAGAAGTTGCAGTCGCCGAAGCCGCCGCCGCCAGGCCGCCGGCGGCGGCAGCTGCCGCCTGCCGCCTGCCAAGAGCGCTGAATGCAGAGGCAGTCTGGGGACGGGAAGAGCTCGATGTGGGATGGAATTAGACTTGATGTCGTTTATTCGCCGGAAGGCCTAAAACGGGCTTCAGCAGTGTCTCGCAGAACAAAAGAATGACCATCGACGCTGGGGGTCGAACCCAGGACCTTCTGCTCCGGAGGCAGACGCGCTTCCACTGCGCTACGCCGACTCAAATTGTCCATTTTGCAACGCGCGTAGATATATATAACCCGAACCGCTTTATCGATCGCGGCGCCTGCGCGCGTGCGCGCGTTTGTACTGCTGCTTGCTTGCCTGCGCTCTCTCTCCCCCCTTCTCTCCTGCCTTGTATGCCACATGCACCACCGCACCGGTCGAAAATGGGCCCCCCCTCCGGGCGTGTTTGCGGCCGCCGCCTTTGCCGCGCCAGGTGCCCCCGGTGTCACTAGTGCCGGCCTCGCTTGCACTGCCCAGCGGCTCGCACCCCCGCCGGCCACGTCGGCCCGCGGTGGGTTCTATCGCATATTTTTTCTGGAGGTTTTTTCGCGAGCCGCCTACAGCCCCGGCAAGCACATGCCGGCCGGGGGGCGTGGCGCGCGCCCCCTTGGCAGCGGCCCCCCCACCGCCGCGCCGCTCCCCTGACACGACCTTTGACACCCTCTACGGCCGCCTCCTGCTGGACTCGCTTTGCATTTCCACTGGTAGCTTCCTCCTCAACGGCCGGGGCCTTGGCCCCCAAGCCGGCGATGGTTGGACTTGCTTTGCCCCCAACGGTCGCAGCGTGGTTGATTATGGCATTGCGGACGCGCGCCTCTACCCCTCGGTCCTTTCCTTTTGCATAGCCGACTGCCGAAGCCTCTCAGATCACCAACCACTCATATGTCAGATCAGCCCCCCGGCGTGCACCCCCCCCAGCCCCCCAACACCCCCCGCCGCCGAGCCCCTCCCCCCCCGCCTCCGGTTTGACGAGGAGCGCCGCGAGGAGTACGTCGCGGCGCTGTGCGACGCCGGCGTGCAGCAGCGCCTGGCGACGCTGGCCTCCCTCGACGGCCCGGCGGCGGCCGCGGCGCTTGCGTCGGTGGTGCGCGAGGCGGCGACGGCGGCCTTCGGCCGCCCGCAGTCGCGGCGCGCGCCAGCGGCTGGTGGCGCGCGGCAGCGGCCGCGCGATGCCCCCTGGTTTGCGCGCTGCCGCCGCGCCCACTTCAACCTTCAGGACGCGCTTCACAGATCCCTGGACCCTGACGCAGCGCGCCGCTGGCGTAACGCCTTCAACGCTCAGAAGCGGCGCGAACAGCGCCGCCTGCGGGCACGCGGCAACGCGGCCATGCTCGAGGCCCTCCGGCACCAGCCCCGGCGCTTCTGGTCAGACTACAAGTCCGAGGGCGCGGCCGCCGTGGGCGGCCACTCGCCGGCGGAGGTGCGCGCGCATTGGCAGCAGCAGTTCGGCGGCCTGGGCCGGGGGTCGCTGCTTGAGCTGGCAACCGCGCTGCGTGCGCGCAACCCCCAAGAGCTGGCGGCGCGCCTGGCCGCCGAAGCGGCGGCGAGCGACGCTGGGGCGCGCCCCGAGGCGCTGCGCCGCCGGCAGGCGGCGGCCGCGCTCAACACCCCGATTCGCGAGCAGGAGGTTCTGGATCAGCTGCGGCGGTGCAGCTTCGGGGCGGCCGCGGGGCTGGACGGCCTGGGCGCCGACCTGCTCAAGGGCGCCTTCCGTTGGATTGAGGTGGGGGATGGGAAGCGGAGGCAAGAACACATCCTTACCGAGCCCCTAACCACCGTTTTCAACCGCATCCTTGGGGGGGAATACCCCTCGGATTGGTGTGTGCAGCCCCTCACCTCGGTGTTCAAAAAAAAGGGCTCAGAGGCCGACCTAGGCAACTATCGCCCCATCCAAAACATGTGCGCCGTGTCCAAGCTTTACCACATGGTTTTGCTTGCCCGCCTTGACGGCTTCGCCGAAGCCCACGGTTTGCGCGCGGCGGGGCAGGCCGGCTTTCGGGCCGGCCGCCGCGCAGCGGACAATGTTTACGTTCTGCGCCACCTTATTGACCGGGCGCGCCTCACGCAACGGCGCGCGGCGCCACAGCGGCGCCCGCTTTTCGTCTGCTTCGTTGACTTTGAAAAGGCATACGACAGCGTCCCGCGGGACGCGTTGTTTAGGTATTTGGCGGAAATTGGCTTGGCGGGAGACATGCTTGCCACCCTGGCGGGCATTTATTGGCGGGTGCGCGTCCGCGCCAAGGCGGGCGCGGCGCTTTGCGCGCCGTTCGATAGCACTTGTGGCGTGCGTCAGGGGGACCCCCTCTCCCCACTCCTCTTTGGCCTTTATATTGACCGCGTGGAGGCGTGGCTGGCGGAGCGCACCCCCGACACCGGCGTGGAACTGGTCGGCAGCGGCGGCCGCCTGCGGGTGCTGCTGTACGCCGACGACTTGGCCCTCCTGGCCTCAGATGCAGAGGGCCTGCAGGCCCAGCTGGATGCCCTGCAGTCGTTTTGCAATACCCACCACCTTCGCGTCAACGTTTCCAAAACCGAGGTTGTGGTGTTTGGCCTTAAGTGCACCGCCGCGCGGTGGACCTACCGCGGCGCCCGCGTCCCCACCTCCCCCGAATTCAAGTATCTGGGAGTGACCCTGCACAGCACCAAAGGCACCACCCCAGAAGCCCACCAGCGCAAGGCGGCGGGCCTGCGCGCCGCCTTTGCGCTGCTGGCCCGCTGCAAGCAGCGCGGCATAGCCGACTTCTCCCTCCGCTGCCGCCTTTTCCGCATCCTCGTCGAGCCCACCCTCAACTACTGCGCCGAGGTTTGGGCACCCGACCTGATGCGCACCGTTGACGCCGCCCTGGCCGCCACCCCCCAAGTTGTCCAGAACGACTTTTTGCGCCAGCTTGGGGGCCTGCGCCGCAACATCCCGGTTTCTATCCTCACCGCCGAGGCCTGCACCCAACCCCTGGCACGCGCCTGGCTGCGCGCCTGCACCGCACACTGGAACCGGCTCATGCGGGCGCCGGCGGACAGCGCGCTCAAGCGCGCGTTCGCCGGCGACCTTGAGCTTGCCCGCGACCGCCCGCCGCGCGCGAGCTGGGCCGGGTCCTGGCTGAGCACCCTTGGCCACGTGGCGGCGGCGGGCAGCACCCAACTTATCCACCCGGAGCCGGGGGCCGAGCTCCCCAGCTACCTGGCCGGCCTCCGCACCCAAATGCGGCACGCCACAACGCACGGCACCGGCGCCCTCCTCTCCCTCAATGTCCCCCTGGATCTGCCACAGGTCTGGGGGGCGTGGGACGCCGCCCTCGCCCACCGCACACAAGCCCCCGGCCGCAGCAGCGGGGCCACAGCAGCCGCCTATGCCCAACACTTTAAAGTCCACCGCGCGGCGCCCGACTGCGACAAAGAGCCAGGCTTCCCAGAGAAAATGCCGTTTTACTTTCGCCACACCTCGGCCTTTAAGTTTGATCATGTGCGGGCGCTGATGCGCGTGCGTTGCTGCTCTGACCCCTTTGCGGCGTGCCCTTCCCTCAAGTGGAGCGCCGCCCCCGCCTGCCGTCGGTGCCAGTCAGCCCCCCCCGAAACCGCCGAGCACGTCTTGCTTGACTGCCCAGCCTATGCCCAGATCAGAACTGCCCCCCCCCACGCGCGTTTCTTCCAGCCCACGCACCCCCCGCCGCTGCCCGCCGAGCGGCTCCGCGAATTTGTGTCACAACAGCCCCAGACCCGCATGGCAGCCTTCGTGCATGCATGCTTTGAGCTCCACAAGCAACCCCTATGAGCTCTGGTCGAGCTCCATGAGCGGCTTAGGCCGCAGGGAATGTAAATCCTATCCTTGGTAGGCGCGGGGGTGGGCTGCGTAATGACGATCTGCAGCGGCGTGGACACGGTGACGACGGGCTTGGTGGTGTCGACGACAACGATGGTCACCAACTCCTCGCTGGAGACGCCGAACGAGTTGGTGACGGTGTTCTTGATCTGGGTGGAGCCAAGCGGGAAGATGTAAGCGTCGACGCCGGACAGGGAGATCTGCTGGTCGTTGGAGACCAGGAAGNCAGCCTATGCCCAGATCAGAACTGCCCCCCCCCACGCGCGTTTCTTCCAGCCCACGCACCCCCCGCCGCTGCCCGCCGAGCGGCTCCGCGAATTTGTGTCACAACAGCCCCAGACCCGCATGGCAGCCTTCGTGCATGCATGATTTGAGCTCCACAAGCAACCCCTATGAGCTCTGGTCGAGCTCCATGAGCGGCTTAGGCCGCAGGGAATGTAAATCCTATCCTATCCTTGACCCTGGTTGGAACACGGTGGCTACAGGATCCTGCGATGCCGCAGGCGGAGTAACAAATCATCATCGCGGCGCCTTTGCCGCGATCGATAAAGCGTGGTGTTGCCATCCGCGCCTCGCAGGCGCCGGTGGCGTTGACCGCCTGCCATGCGGCGGTTGACTGCTCGTTTTCCTTGACCCTGGTTGGAACACGGTGGCTACAGGATCCTGCAATGCCGCAGGCGGAGTAACAAATCATCATCATCATCGCGGCGCCTTTGCGGCGGTTGGCCGCGGGTCTTTTTTTTGGACTGCCCCACACGCCGTTTGCTTGCCCATCCGCTGATGCGGTGATGCTTGCTTGTGCACCTGACGCACCGCCGGACCGGGCGGCGGGCGGGAGGTTGAAAAAGGCGGCCCGGTATAGGATCCCACGATGCCGTGGGCGGAGTAACCATCAAATCAAATCGCGGTGCACTATCATTGCGCGTGGGTTTTGTTGTGGTGTTGCCATCCGCGCCTCGCAGGCGCCGGTGGCGTTGACCGCCTGCCGACTGGCGTGCGGTGGTTGACTGCTCGTTTTCCTTGGCCCTGGTTGGAACACGGTGGCTGCAGGATCCTGCGATGCCGCAGGCGGAGTAACAAATCATCATCGCGGCGCACATGCCGGCCGGGGGGCGTGTCGCGCGCCCCGCACGGCGCGTGCCCGCTGCCGAGCGGCCAAACTCGGCGCCCGCTGTCCGCACCGGCCCCTTGAAGGGGCCGTGCGACGCGGGGATTAGTGCGCTATCATTGCGTGTGGGTTTTGTTGTGGTGTTGCCACCCGCGCCTCGCAGGCGCCGGTGGCGTTGACCGCCTGCCGACTGCCGTGCGGTGGTTGACTGCTCGTTTTCCTTGGCCCTGGTTGGAACACGGTGGCTGCAGGATCCTGCGATGCCGCAGGCGGAGTAACAAATCATCAT